TGAAATCTCTTCCGATTTCCGGTTTCTAACTGGTAAACAATTAATATCATTAAATTTAAGTAATTTAAAGATTGCAGCTTATAACTTAGCACTTAAATATCCAAATGATACGAACGCTGAAGAAATTCAGTCAGAAATAATCCGGACACAAAAGCAGCTACAAACTTAGAACTTTTAAAAATAATTCACGATTATAATTTAGTTCAGTCCTATCTGACTTTGGGAGCAGCGTTAAGAATATTTTTAACGTTGCCAGTTATTGTAGCTAGTGGCAAAAGAAGCTTTAGCAAACTTAAAATAATAAAGAATTATATGAGATCTTCACTAGGCCAAGAAAAACTTTCAAACATGGCCATTCTCTCTATAGAACACAAGTTAAGTAATCAAACAGATTTTTAAAAAAAAAATATTGATGATTTTGCTTCTTTTAAAGCAAGAAAAATTAAATTATAAATATGTTTGAAAAGCTTATACCATAAATTTTTGAGCAGACGTTTTTATTTACACTACTTAATATTATTTGCCATTTTTCAAAGAGCATATTTTTAATGTTTTCCATTTCAAAATTGTTAATCATTATATATGTTTCACTTTGTAGAATATACAAAGTTAGAATCAAATATTACTGTAAGGAGTATTGAATTTTCGCTTGAAATAGATACTTTTATTGAGCAAAAAAATATATTATAATATAGTTAATTTGTTGTATATTTATGATTACATATATATATAAAGAAATATTGATTATATTATCTCCTAATATAAATTTAGTGGAATGCATCAAAAAAGCGTGAACCCATATATATACAGTCAAAAGTCGTTAATTCGGACTCATCGGGACTTCGGCGATTCCTTATAGATCATCAGTTTAAAATCGTGTAAGATGGCATGCAGAAATTCAAAATTTAAAAAATATGAAACCGTAATTTATGAATAAAGAACAATTATGATCTAAAGGGTATCAAAATTTACAAAAAAAAGCTTAATATTTATTGTTTACTTTATTAAACATTTCTTTTAATGTAAGTTGTTTAAGTTGCTTCATTTTATGTGATAATACTTTCTCTTTAATTCTATAAATAGACATAATTTTTGTTCACTTACAAAGTTCCGCTGTTCAAGTCCCGTTAATTGCTGTGTGCCGAGAATACCGACTAACTTGTCAATCGAAATTTTTTCGTTTTCACTAACCTCTTTGTCACATTCTTCATGTCTTTATCCATTTTTGCAGCAATTCCACTTTTTGTTTGATGGACATCGAAGCATACTTTCCTTTTGTACGATCCTTTGGGAGCTCCAGAATCAAAAATTCTATTTGACATAATCGAAAGTTCAAGTTTACTTTTATAGTATTGCTCTTACAGTCTGCAAAAAATAATAAGCCGGATCCATTCGAAAATTAAGGAACAACGCAATCATCAACATAACTGAAATAGATAATTAGATAATTTAGCTTACACGTCTGTTATACATAAACGCGCACACGAGAAACGTATTCTGCGCTTGCGCACACGCAAATGCGCAGTCGTAAGAGGTCTTTACGCGCACGCGTAAACGCCTATGCGCATGTGTCAACGCGGCGCATGCGCAGAAAGTTTTTAGCTTTGAGGTCCGGATTATAGATCATTTCGAATTATGGGTGTCCAAATTAACGACTTTTGACTGTATATAGGAAGTTTAATTCCAAAAATTGTGTTTTAAAGTACCTTGAATGTAAATCATGGAAAAAAAAAAAAAAAACATTTTAAGGGGATTTGAATTTAAATCATGAATAACAAAATTTCAAACTTTGAAAATGAAATTAAAAATTAAAAAACAATTAATTAGTGCTAATGGTCGGAAATCAGTTGACTTCTCAAGAGGAACAAACCAACTCCCGTTCAATGAACAATAATTAATAAATGCGAAGGTGTTTCGTCTTTTACTCAAGTAAGAATGGTGATGCCAAACTGAAGAATTAAGTTAGGCCAAAATTCTAGTTCCGTGAAGAGATGGGATTTATAATCAAAGTAGAGTACCAAAGAACTCATTCTGAATGAAGCATTTTCGCTAAGAAAAGATTCTTTAGAAATTTTGAGTAAAAAGCCAATTTATGTAGTAAAATTTACAAAATACTTGAGTAAATGTCCCCCGACCGCTTTTATGCATGTTAATTCAAGACTATTTTTATAAAAATAAACACAATAAACAGTAGTAATCTTAATTGGAATTTTGAAATAGAACTCAAAGTAATTGAAATAAACATGAGAAAAATAAGAAACATAATGCTATCCTTGCAAAAACAAATCAAAAACAATCTTCTGAGTAAGACACAGAATTCTGAGTATCTTTGCAAAAACAATCCTTCTGAGTAAGACACAGAAGAAAACACTTCGCCAACATCCCACTAGAAAGAACGTAAGTTAATGCATTTTCTGGCCTTTTATAGCTTTACGTATATTTCACATTTTACTTTCTTATTAGATATATTTCAAGTTTTCAACTTTTATTTGATTTGTTTTTGCAAAGATAGCATTGTTATAGCAAAGATAGCAAAATTTCTAAAAAATCTTGTATTAACGAAAATGCTTCAATCAGAATGAGTTCTTTGGTACTCTACTTTGATTATAAATCCCATCTCTTCACGGAACTACAATTTTGGTCTAACTTAACTTGCTAGTTTGGCATCATCATTCTTACTTGAGTAAAAGACGAAACACCTTCACATTTATTAATTATTGTTCATTGAACGGGAGTTGATTTGTTACTCTTGAAAAGTCAACTAATTTCCAATCATTAGCGATAATTAATTGTTTTTTAATTTTTCTTTTTCAAAGTCTGAAATTTTTTTATTCATGATTTAAATTCAAGTCCCCTTAAAATGTTCTCCCCCCCCCCATGATTTACATTCAAGTTACTAAACACAATTTTCGGAATTAAACTTCCTACATATGGGTTCACTCTTTTTTAATACATTCTACTAAATTTATATTAGGAGATAATATAATCAATATTTCTTTACTAAATAAATTATTATTATCTTACTTTGCAGCTATTGCACAAGTATTAGAAAAATTTAATTTCAAACTCAGTGAATTTTAGATCATTCAATATATATATATACATATTGCATGTAATTGTATAATGTTATGTTTTCAAACATCATTTAATATTATTTATTTATTCTTTCCCCCCCCACACACACACAATAGGTAAATACACAATCTTGCATTGTATACAGGCGCACATTTACCACTTTGTGTCAGATGAAAAAATATGTAGGCTCGTCTCTGTCTTGTAATATAAAAATTTATGAGTTAACGAAAAATATCTTTTTAAGATTTCTGCACACTTCAATATGTTATTGTGTAAATACATTTTTAAGTGCAAGAGAACCAAAACTTAGTGACTTAGTGACAAATTTTAAGTTTAGTGACTTGAAAAATATACAATTGTAAAAACTGTATGATTTTATCTCATGACCTCGAAAACATTATTTTATTTAATAATTAAAAAAATTAAACCATTAATGCACACATTTAAATTAACAAAAATATTTCTTAGTAGATTTTAACAGGATTTTTGAATTAATCAAAATGCAAACCTTTAACCTTAATACAAAATGAGACACATAATCATTTTCATAATAAATATTTTACACCATGAATTCTTATGGAATCGAATAAAAAAACTGCTACAGTTACGATCTAGCCAGTCTTCCTTTCAAGCATATCCTAAAAATTAATATATATTTTTGGTGAGCATATGAAGAAAAATTTTACACAGAATGCGCATGGCTGCATTACACACTGTATGAAATTATTTATGTACACTCTGCACAACAAAAAGGGGGGTGACAGTTGTATATCTCCCATTCTATTGGTCCGACTGACGAAGTTTAAATTGCATTTTTCACGTCTTGAAAGTGCGACTTAGGATATCTATTAGATTTATATATAACATTGTTCTAGTATGGGTATTTGACAAAAAAATTGACCTTTTTTTAAATGACATACTGATTTTTTTTTAATATTTCGATTCTATGACTCATATTATATCTAAATATTAAATTTCATAAAATTTGGGGAAAAACTTGCTAAGAAATTTATCTTAACTTACCTTTAACCCTTTCATTGTGCATGAGCAGAAAAAAAGCTGCATGGTTCATTCTTTCAAATAATATTATCAAAATGCATAAACCACATCTGGTGCTATTATCGTTTGTATTAAATATGCCAAATTTCAAAATGCACCAATACATAAATTTGGCTATATCTTGGGAAACTGGGATTAAAAAACTCTAGAACTCTAGTTTTTTTTACAGGTGTACCTAGAAATACAATGACTTTACGATGATATTAAGAATTTTATAGGTTACTTTTTTTTTAACTCATAAAAATTACTAAAAAGTACAAATCTTAAAAATAGATCAGGTACTATCTCATTTATTTTTAAAATTTGTATTTTTCACAAAAAAGATTCTCTAGTAATATAAAAATTCCATTAATTCAATGTTCAGATGTTAATCGAATTTTGTTTAGAGTGATTTTAATCGAATTTTTTAATCTAAATTTCGAATTGTGAAAGAAGGAATCAAATGAGTTAATTAAAAGAAAAGGAGATAGTAATAAATACATACCAATTTTCAATTAACATTCAGAAGCTAAAATTTTCAGAGCTAATTTTTAAAAAAACTACTCATGGGATTTTTACAAAACTTGACAGTTTGGTATAATTTAAGTCGTAGAATTGAGATATGAGAAAAAATCAGTATGTTATTTCAGTCAATATCCAATTTCGTGCCAAAATATATGTTTGAACAACACTATCTATAAATCTAATGTATATCCTAAGTTGTACTTTTGAGACATGAAAAATGGAAGTTATATTTCATCAACTGGCCCAGTAAAACTAGAGATATAAAACTGCCCTTTTTTGGGGGGAGATGGGTGCAGAGTGTACATTTCATAACATTTACAGAACAAATTTTTTAAAGAAAATGTTATCAAATTATAATTTACCTACATCTGAAGATACTTCAAATAATAATGGAAGTTGTCCTGAAGCTCTCAATAATACTGCAGGATTGTATGATAAGTCTTCTACTTCCAGATCTTCAAATGTACCATAATAGTTTGTAACTAACTTGGCAGTTATCTTTACAGAACTATATTCTTCTCTCCTTTTATGGACAATGAGGACTAATGGATTTTCATATTCAAACTACAGTAAAAACAAATTTTAGTACATTTTTCAATACATCTTTGGTCTCCAAGTTTAAGAACAAAATAAAAGAGATTTAATAATTACATTTAAAACTTAAATACTACTAATTTCAGTTAAAACTTAAGTAGTAAAAGTAATATTTTTGTGCTTTTTTGTTATCAGGACTGGATTCAGAAATGTATGGATGTGTGCACATGTGCACGTACATATATATATATATATATATGAACACATACATACATATATTTCTGAATACAGTCCTGAAAATAGGAGTTCCGAGTACAGTCCCGATAACCCAATTTTTATTATTTTCTTTTCAAATATTTCACAAAACATTTAACATTAAAATTGATCGATATTAATCTTTTTCTCTCATTTAATACATGAAAAATACGAATAGGCTTTCATATGCTTAAAAACACCAGTACCTTTACTACATACTGAATAAAATTAGCAGAGAAAAATATATATTGAATATTTTGTAACTCATTGGGTTTTTTTCTTGGTACTTCATGATCCCCATGAAAAAGGAGCAAACTCATTGACGATTTTCAACAGAAATATTTGTTCAGGTTTCCTTACGTCTATTTCAACAATGTATTCAGTGTTGCTTGTGTTTTATATTCTTTTTCCACACATGACACACCCACACACGACACATCAACCGATAACTGTATTTGGAGATAGGGGTTTAATAACAAATAAAGCAAACGGCTGTTGTAAATGAAATACAGCTGCTTTTAAACCAGTTTCCGACCTATATTCTAACACTTTGCTTTTGGTCATTTAAGAACTGCAACTTCAAAAAATGCAAATTTTTACTTTTTTTTTTTTTTTTTCCCTGCACAAAACAACATTATTTCTGAAGAAATAAAATGCTTTCTTTTTCATTAGCCAGTAAAATGCACAATATTATTATGATCCATTATGACAAAAACAAATGTATAAGGGGTGTTCAAATAAAAAGGTACGAAATGTCGTAACAACGAAACTGGTTGAAATTTGAATATGCCACTTTGGCATAATGTAGTGAGATATCTAAAGACACGAATGCAGTATCTGACATGGTTATGCGCATGTGCAAACGCCCGCATATGATGAAGTGAAGCAGGCAGTTTTGAGTTCCATCCAATTGATGTGGCTGTGCATGTGATGACATCTTGGCGTTCACAATGCAAAATTAGACGATTGAGGAGCAGCGAGTTGTTACCAGATTTTTGACTGTGGAAGGGGTTAAACCAGCCGATTTTCATCATCGTATGTTGGCCATATACAGAGCAGAACTGGCACTCCCCTTTCTCACTGACTTGTTGGACACAAGGAGTTTCTCATTGACTTGTAGGACACACATAGGAATGGCTTCAGGCCATCTGGAAAATCTATCTGTTACAGTCAAAAGGTACGTTACCTTCTGATGGCAGCAACAGGTCAACTATATTCATGTGGATTTCTGAAAAACATGCATCAGGAAGTGAGAATGTATGCAGTAGTGCTTTGGTATGCCTATGTATTTTCGATCTCTAGCATGATTCATAGGATTTCACCCAGTCTTTTATGTGATGCTTCATATTGTATCATACATAATGAGAATAAATGAGTTTCACAGTAGCTGCAATTTCTAGATGTGATAGATTATGAAGATGATTAATGATCAGTCTGTGAAAGGAATTTGAAACAAAAGGACCATTTCTGTTGACTTTGAGTTACATTGAACCTATGCTATAGGTACCCATGTTTCTTAGACAACTGCAATTGTGAATGCCTTCAAATTGATGGTAATGGTAAATATTATGGTGCACAACCTGATTAGATTATTAGCGCAAGACACATAATAGTTAAAAACAAATTACAGTTCAATCCACACATTAATTCTATGCAATCACAAGTTTAAAACAAGAGTAGACTTATAAAAAGAGGTAATCAAAATGATGAAAATTAAGATGAAGTAACTCATGAATTAGGTAATGATATAAGATGTGATGCATGTGTGAAATCATAAAATATGAGATACAATAAAATTTATATCACTAAAATCCACAGACACATTAAAAAATAAATTAAATAATAAAAAACACTCTCCTTGAGGTATGGAAATAAATTAGCATTGGCCACTTTTCCGATTATGCGGTCAAGAGGAAAGTCAGAGTTATATTAAAATATTTCAATCTGAGTTAAAATACGGACATTCAATTAAAATATGATGAACTGAAAGAATACTATCATAGTGGGAACAAACTGGTTCACTCTTGGCCTTCAAAAGGTAGCTATGTGTTATATGTATCATCTGTTAAATCTGACCAATACGCAGACGGGTTAGAATTACATACTTTCCTATTGAGTCCCAGTATTCAACTATAGGTTTCACGGTTTTAAGCTTATTATTAACCTGAGCATCCCATAGTATTATTAACCTGAGCATCCCATAGCAGCTGCCACTTCTCTAGGACTCCCTTGATAACCCTTTTAATATCAGTCAAAGGAGCATGCTGGCTGCACAGATCAACAGCAGACTTAGCTGTTATATCTGCGAGCTCATTTCCTTTGATCCTAACATGACCAGGAACCCAGCAGTACAGAACTTGATATCCACGCAACTGTAAGCTTAGATTTAATTTTACAACTTCAAAAACTACAGGACTGCGAGTGTTGGAAAAAGTTTCTAAAGCTTTCAATGTATTGTACGACTCTGTATAATTTTTTTCTGGCTTAGCTTTGATAAGCCAGAAATGTGAAAAAGCGCATAATATATGGAAGTCAGCTCAGATGTCAAGACTGAGCAAGCATAATGCAAACGTCTGCCCTCAATCTGGTCACCCATTACAAATCCTGCTCCATGGTAAGATGTTTTTGATCCATCTGTATATATGGCCACATGACCGCTATATTCATATCTGTGTTCGAAGAAGAGTTGTTTATATACGATCTCGCAAGTGTTCTGTTTATTGTAGCGCTGGAAACCATCAAGAAGCTTGATTTTCGCATCTTCCCAAGGTGGAAGTTCAAGACGATATACTGTTTGGGTGAATATATCAGATATGGAATACTCTTCGATCAAAGATCGAACTCTTACAGAAAAGGAAGGAACACAAGACCATTGTGCTTGAAAGAGAAGGTCACACATGTATTAAGCAAACATAGCTTAGTAGGATGGTCAGGTTGAGACAATATATTAAAATACTGTAAAAGAGACAACTGCTCATGCCACAAATAGAGTGCTGGTTCATAACAATTAACATACAGGCTCTGGATTGGAGATGTCCTAAATGCCCCAGAACAGAACTGGTGTGCCTGATGATGGATCTAGTTTCTGCAAAAACTGATGGCCATGCAGATCCATAAACAATTGAGCCATAATTTAGTCTAGAGCGGACAAGTGCTCTATAAACACAAAGTAAAGAGCAGCACTCTGCGCTTCAGGAGGTGTTCACCAAGACTTTTAGAAGATTCAATATTTTGGTACACTTCTTCCACAGATGTAACACATGAGGGAGGAAAGTAAGTTTTCGGTCGAACAATCACTCCCAAAAACCTTACTTCAGGTTATACTGGAATCACTGATCCATGAAGATGTAGCTCAGGCTCAGGATGGAGACCTCACTTCCTGCAGAAGTGCATGCATACAGGCTTGTGCTTCGAAAACAAGAATCCTTGTTTGTTTGACCAGTCCTGAATTCGGTTCAGAGCAATCTGTATTTGCCTTCTACATGTCTCATATCTACCCCATGACAAATATCTGCAAATCATCAACATATAACAATCCTGAAACAGTGGGGGGGGGGGAAGAAGTTGATTTAAGACACAGTTGACTTTTAATGTGAACAAAGTAATGCTGAGCACACAGCCTTGAGGCATACCCTCTTCTTGTAAAAAGATGTCTGATAAGACAGCACCAATCTTGACTTGAAAAGTCCTTCTCCTTAAAAAAATTTTAATGAAAATAGGCAGGTTGCCGCACAAGCCAGAGTTGTGAAGATCCCGCAGTATACCATATTTTCCTGCCTTATCACAAGCTTTCTCAATGTCAAAAAGACAGAGAAAAAATGGTTTCTTCTCACAAAGGCTTTACGAATGGACGTTTCCAAAAGGAGCATGTTATCCATGGCCGTCCTTCCTTTTCAAAAACTGCTGTGATAAGGTGATATGATTCTTTTCAAAGAAATAGACTAGATGGCTGTTTACCATTTTTACATAATATAAATATGGCATTGCCACTTCAACAATAAATTAATTAAATAAATAAATTTATTAAATAACAAGATATTACAGTGGGTTCTTCATTTTGTCTGAGGGAACATTCCTTACTCCAGTGAGAATTGTTACACTTGCAACATCGCTCTCGGTTAGTGCACAGGTGCTGAGAGTGACCCCACTCCCGACATCTGTAGCACTGTATTGGCCTCTTTTTGGATTATACTTCTCAACCTTGATGTTGAAACTGAACATATTCTTCAAATTAAAGATTGTGTAGCTTGCTTGGTTCTTCTTCAGTACAAGCAGAAAAATGGGAAGCTTCTCAAAATTCTTTGATTTTCCTTTTCGAAATTGTTTTACCTTTTCAATAGGGAATAGCCGCTTTTTTTAAATTGTTAAATATTGCTTCCTCTTTCACCGTGTCTGGTAGGTCTTTCAGTATCGCTTGTAGTGGTTTTTCACTTGGTAACTGAAATGTATGATATGGTTTGCTGCTGTTCTCTTGTAACATTTTCATAGCTTTTCGATAGTCCTCAATAGTTTTAACACTGACGTAGACTTTACATTCACCTCAAATTCTTCCTTGCATGCTTTTGTTAGAAGTTCATCTATTGCCATCCAATCCACACTGCGCTGCTGAAATGCAATCGGTGGGGGGCGTCTCTTCCTTACTGGCTCTGCCTTCTTTGGGTTTTCGGCTTCATTCAGTACTTCAAATCTGTTTTCTTTCAGAATTTCCATCTGTACCTCTTTTATGACAATTTTAGCTGTTTTCTCGGGCAAAATCCAAGTGTTTTCTTTCTCTT